ACGTACAAAGCCGTCCACCATACTGCCCCGAACTACATCACTGACCTAATATCAAAATACCGCCCCAGCACCGACACTCTGCTCCTCACAAGACCTCCTTCTCTCTAGTTCCCTGGTCTCCTCCTCCCATGCCCGCCTCCAGGACTTCTCCAGGGTGTCACCCATCCTCTGGAACTCCCTGCCCCAACCCATCAGATTATCACCTACTCTCCTCTCCTTTAGGCGCACCCTGAAAACCCATCTCTTCAGGGAAGCCTACCCCACCCCCTGATTACTTGCCGACCTCCTTCCACTCTTCCTACCACTCCATCCCCCACAGCTATCTCCTCCTGTGCCACCATCCCCTCCCTCTTAGATTGTAAGCTCCAAGGAGCAGGGCCCTCGATCCCCTCATGTTTTGCATTGTATTGGTATTGTTCTGTCACATGTTCTGTCCCCCTTTGTAATGTACAGCGCTGAGCGAACTATTGGCGCTTTATAAATACTGTATAATACTAATAATAATACCCCAATTTTGGATAGAGTAAGCGAGGATTATAACCCATCAGGTTTTTTGACTCCCGTGTCCAATTGGCAAGATTTCCCTTTACTTTCTGCTCCATAGCCACACAGAAAGTGGGGAGAGACCCCTGGTAGCCACCAGGATCACCAGAACTAGTATCCCCATTGGAGCCTTTCCCTTCTATTTATGTTCTGGATTTTCTTCCACTCTCTGTAAAAAGGGCAAACAGGACAAGAATAGAGGATGAATCTCCCTAAAGCTGCCCATACAGTTTTTTTGCTGTCTGTTAATGAGATGTTTGCACTGTTACTATGGTCAAATGCAATCAGTGCATCAAGTGAACTGGATCTTTACTGGTTTTTCTTCTGAAGCGATGACAAGCACAGACCTTGTCAGCACGGGGTTTGGCCTCAAGCCCTGATGAAAGGGGTGTTTTTAGATTCCCAAAATGTGTTGGCTACTCTTTGGATTGTCCCCTGACCTTTTATTGGCATAAAGTCATATCTGGACCTTTTAGAAGTGGTGTGGTATGTCCATTTACATATTTTTGTCATCATACAATAGCCAGCCCTGAAGATTGGGCCATCTGCACTGTAGAGTATGGATGGTGGAACCTGCAGGTTGAATGAAGAGAAACTCCATCAGTATATGGCCAGCTTTACTATCCTCTGTTACAGAGCCATGGCCTACTTCTGTGTCTACATCCTTATCCCTGCAATCTTCTTAAATGCCAAGGTCCCATTGATTTGAATCCAGCAGTAAACCAAGGTTTCCTCATTTTACAGCCCCATTCAATTCAGCAATGAAGATACGTGGCTGGGGGGGGGTTTAAAAGAGTTGGGGAGCTAGGAAGACTGGATGGGTAGAGTAAACCAGATTTCTGGGACAGAAAGATTGTATTATATGCACGAGGATAAGTTGGAGATGTACAATAAAAAATGGAAAGGATGGGGAGAATATAAAGAAATGGCGAAAAAGGTGAAGAGATAAGGTCCCTGGTAGTCGGTTTAGAATTGGATTTAGGAATAACAGAATCATATGGAGTAAATGAGAGAAGAGAGAATATGGAGCGTGGGAAGGTGAGGGAGGGAAGGGAGGGGGGGGGGGAGAAGGAGGGGGGGGGTATTTGGGAGGGGGGGGATGGTATGAAAAGAAAGTCATATATAGGAATAAATTTTATAAGGAGAAAATATGTTTTTGATAAATATTTTAATAGATATGTTGAAATGACTTGTATATGGATTGAAAATCAATAAATATTTATTAGAAAAAAAAAAAAAAAGAGTTGGGGAGTGGACTATCATTAGGTTAATAAGATCTGAACACGTCCTTCAATGTATAGCTACCAACTGTGGAGTCCTGGAAGAGATCCCCCAACTTATATATCAAATATATCTGTGCAGGGGAGACCAAATAAATGGAAGATATTTATGATAACAGCACAGTATAAACATATTTTTTAAAGGACAAATGAGTCTTTATTTTCATGATAGTGGGGTTGCTTTACTAAAAGCAAATAGACTGAGCACTTTTGCAAGTGTAGTTGTTCCAGAGCTTAGTAAATGAGTAAATGTAAGCAAAAATACTGTTTGTTTTTTATTATTCTTTCATGTGATTGGCTATTCTTTGCAAAGAAAAACTTTACTTCATTTACTGTACTAAACTGTGAAGCAAATGCTCTTGCAGAGTGCACAGTCTGTTTGCCTTTAGTAAATCTTTCCCATTGTCTTTAAAAAATTAACTTTATTTTAAGCAATCCTTGGACAAAAAAAAAACAAAATGCAAAAACTACAAAATGCACAAAAACATACTTTTTCTTTATTTTGACTAGTGTTACCAGTGTTATTATAGAATAAAAGTATAATTTCATTCCATAATTTAAATAGTAAAAAAAAAATCAACAGTACAACAAGTTGGTTGGCAAGCTGGCTAGCAAGTTGATTTTGAACCTTTTTTTTCTTTTTCTTCTTTTATTGACATGCGTTGCCCGGTTCACGTAGTCCTTGCTTCATAAGCCAGTTATAGACTGGGGCAGGTGCCATATTTTGTTGTACTCAGGGGCCGGACTGACCATTTGGAAACTCGGGCACTGCCTGAGGGCCCTGGGACAGTAGGGGACCCCATGAGATGCCCCTGGTACCTTTTTCATAGGCTTTTTTTGAGTTTGGGCAAGGACACTGGCCCCATGATCCCCTATTGCCCGGGGGCCCCATGAGTTGTCAGTCCGCCTTTGGTTGTTCTGTTGATTTGAAGGTGAGTGGGTGCACTGGGCGCCCTGGCTACCATTGTACTACATGCTGCGGTTCCTTTGCACTCCTGTACCTTTAACAGGGGTGGCTTCCCTGATGTGCACCTGCCCTTGATCTATCCTTTAAATACATGTGCCTCTACTATGGGGGCTCTCAAAATTTGTAGAGTTAGGACCACAGAATACCATGGTGCGGTGATGTGGCATTGTGGCTTACATATGTATTTAGAAATGTGTGCTAATTAAACCTGTTTTTAATGCATACTGTTAGACAGGTTAATTTGGTTGTTGGCAAGCTGGCTGGCACGTTGATTTTGAACCTTTTTTTTCTTTTTTTATTGACATGCGTTGCCCGGTTCACGTAGTCCTTGCTCCATAAGCCAGTTATAGACTGGGGGGGCAGGTGTCATATTTGTTGTACTCTTGTAGAGTGCTACTCTATATAATAATCCTCTGAATATTCCTGTCTGTGGTGACAGTGTGTGTTACAGACGTTTGTTCACATTTGTTCTTGCTAACATTGTGAAGGGTTGATAGTCCCAAAACCATCTGGTGGCAGCTTGGAGTTTGAAGTGTTAATTGCATCATTAATTAACCCACAATCGCTCTCAGGCTGCTGGCACATGGATTTCGGACCTGCGTGCTGAAAATTTTTTTGTGCAGGGTGCAGTTGAGAGTGGCCTTGTTATGAAAGTGACAGTGCGGTGTGAGATTGGCTCCTCCTTTGTCATGAGTTGGTGAGAAGGGCGGGGGTTGGACACCGCGTTCGTCACCCACTAGACCCCATCCAAGTTGTTAATCCTTAATAAAATCAACAACAAAACAAGCTCAAGGAATGTTTTGCTGACTCTAGGAGAAATTGTTGGAAATGCGAGCTGCCTGGCTGTGCAGAGCTTAGGGGGACCCAATTAAAATCCAGCGGCCCTTAAGGGTGGTGGCGCTCCACAAATATTGTGCATATCATTAATCGCTCATCGTTCATTTGCTCAGTTATGTGCATTTCATTTGTGTATTTAGCTGTTTGCCTGAACTTTAGCCTAGACTGTATGATCTTCAGCACGTTATTGCACATAAAACACGGGACTTCTCTGAAAACACCATTCTGAGGCTACAAAAGGGTTAACTAGAAAAAGTGAAAGTGAAAGTTGGTGAAGAATTTGCCATTGTCTATATAAATGCGAACGGAGGGAAGGAGATCATTTTCTTCCTAAGCAGCTGAAAGTTGCGCACTGACAGTATAGCATCGCTGCATCTCTGCACTCCTATAGCAGGTAAGATAATCCAGGGGTGTGATCCGCTAATTGGGGGGAACAAGGGGGCTTACTAATACATGATATAATTTTTTTTATCTATTTATTTATTTCATAATGTTTTATTGAGTATGAAAATTCAAAGAGAGAGAGAAAAAAAAAAGAAAGAAGAAGAGGAAAAAAAAAAAAAAAAAGGGTGGAAAAGAGGGTAGAAAGGAATGGAGGGGAAGGGGGGAGTGAATTTATTTTTTAATATTTTGTATATTGTATAAGTCATGTTTTATTATCTGAGGGACTGAACTGTTTCTGCATTGAGGGCCAGTTCACACCACAAAAACATCCTCCAGATCCGTTCGAGATGTGTTTCTGCATGCACTTTTTTAACATGTTATTTCTGTATTTCCAGTTGCATTCCAAGTACTTTCTTCCCTCTTTTTTTTTTTTGGGGGGGGGGGGGGGTAATTCAATTGAAAAATCATTGTTTTCATCAACAACCCCCGCCAGAAGGGTGACATCATCATTTAGGAAGTGATCAGGGGCGGACTGACAACTCATGGGGCCCCGGGGCAATAGGGGATCATGGGGCCCCTGTGTCCTTGCCCAAACTCAAAAAAGCCTATGAAAAAGGTACCAGGGACATCTCATGGGGCCCCCTACTGACCCCGGGCCCTCGGGCAGTGCTCGAGTTTCCAAATGGTCAGTCCGCCCCTGGAAGTGATACCCAACCACCATGGTTTCACCCCCACTGGACACTACTATGGGCTTGCTAGCAGCTTACTTGGTGCTCTCCTGAGACAGTGCCAGGGCTCAGGGGGGAGTACTGCCACAGCTGGGTAGATGCTGCCGGCAATTACCAGGTGGGATTCCAATTAGAGATGAGCGAAGAAATGAAAAATTTGATTCGACTGATTCGGCGAATTCGTGGACAATATTCGTCGAGTCGAATAAATTCGCTGTGAATTTAACTTAAAAAAGGGTGTTTCTAGGCTTCAGAGAGACTTAATATTAGTGCAGAACACTGTACCTTTAATTTAAATGCCCTTGGAGTCTGCTGGGGAAGAGAAATAATACTGTCAGTCAGTATGACATGCAGATGAGTGCCGTCGATCTTAGAATCACTGCACACTTCACTCATTTGGCCAGTCACGGGGCCAAAACCAGTGTTTGGAGCCACAGTGTGGCGGTGGAGCCAGCAGCAATGGGAGGCCATACAGCAACCTATGACAAAATGGAAACCAGCAGGAGTGTGAGGAGACCTGAAAGTGGCACATGGCAGAGTGGGAGCAATGGGAGGCGGTACAGGGACCCAGGTCACACTGTGGGCCCAGCAGCAGCAGCGTGACCAGGCGGTACGGGGGCCCATGGCCGATTTGGGGCCTGGTGGCACCTATGGAAGGCCTGTAATCTGCCAGCAACCTATGACAAAATGGAAAACCGCAGGAGTGTGAGGAGACCTCAAAGTGGCACATGGCAGAGTGGGAGCAATGGGAGGCGGTACAGGGACCCAGGTCACACTGTGGGACCAGCATCAGCGTGACCAGGCGGTACGGGGGCCCATGGCCGATTTGACCTCGTTCATCCCATAGTCCTGCCGACTCACGAATAGCGTGGCCTCCTCAAAGGGCCTGAGCAAGCGCAGGTGTCACGCATGAGCTGACAATGGCTGACATCTAAGTTACACAGGAGTACCTTTATCCGCTTTTAACATCAGGAAATCTGTGATGGCCTTTCGCTGTTCGTAAAGGCGGTCTAACATATGTAGGGTTGAATTACACCTTGTTGCAACAGTCACAGCATGAGGAGTCGGTACGGGGGCCCATGGCAGATTACGTGCCTGGCAGCAGCAATGGGAGGCCCCGTAATCTGCCAGCACCCTATGTCAAAAAATTGAAACACACCAGCAGTGTGAGGAGACCTCAAAGTGGCACATGGCAGAGTGGAAGCAATGGGAGGCCGTACAGGGACCCAGGTCACACTGTGGGCCCAGCAGCAGCGTGACCAGGAGGTACGGGGGCCCATGGCCGATTATGGGGCCTGGCGGAACCTATGGAAGGCCTGTAATCTGCCAGCAACCTATGTCAAAATGGAAAAGCCGCAGGAGTGTGAGGAGACCTCAAAGTGGCACATGGCAGAGTGGAAGCAATGGGAGCCGTACAGGGACCCAGGTCACACTGTGGGCTCAGCAGCAGCGTGACCAGGCGGTACGGGGGCCCATGGCCGATATGGGGCCTGGCGGCACCTATGGGAAGGCCTGTAATCTGCCAGCAACCTATGAAAAAATGGAAAAGCACAGGAGTGTGAGGAGACCTCAAAGTGGCACATGGCAGAGTGGAAGCAATGGGAGGCCGTACAGGGACCCAGGTCACACTGTGGGCCAGCAGCAGCGTGACCAGGCGGTACGGGGGCCCATGGCCGATATGGGGGCTGGCGGCACCATGGAAGGCCTGTAATCTGCCAGCAACCTATGACAAAATGGAAAAGCGCAGGAGTGTGAGGAGACCTCAAAGTGGCACATGGCAGAGTGGAAGCAATGGGAGGCCGTACAGGGACCCAGGTCACACTGTGGGCAGCAGCAGCAGCGTGACCAGGAGGTACGGGGGCCCATGGCCGATATGGGGCCTGGCGGCACCTATGGAAGGCCGTAATCTGCCAGCAACCTATGACAAAATGGAAAACCGCAGGAGTGTGAGGAGACCTCAAAGTGGCACATGGCAGAGTGGAAGCAATGGGAGGCCGTACAGGGACCCAGGTCACACTGTGGGCCCAGCAGCAGCGTGACCAGGAGGTACGGGGGCCCATGGCCGATATGGGGCCTGGCGGCACCTATGGAAGGCCGTAATCTGCCAGCAACCTATGACAAAATGGAAAACCGCAGGAGTGTGAGGAGACCTCAAAGTGGCACATGGCAGAGTGGAAGCAATGGGAGGCCGTACAGGGACCCAGGTCACACTGTGGGCCCAGCAGCAGCGTGACCAGGAGGTACGGGGGCCCATGGCCGATATGGGGCCTGGCGGCACCTATGGAAGGCCTGTAATCTGCCAGCAACCTATGACAAAATGGAAAACCGCAGGAGTGTGAAGAGAGACCTCAAAGTGGCACATGGCAGAGTGGAAGCAATGGGAGGCCGTACAGGGACCCAGGTCACACTGTGGGACCAGCAGCAGCGTGACCAGGCGGGTACGGGGGCCCATGGCCGATATGGGGCCTGGCGGGAACCTATGGAAGGCCTAATCTGCCAGCAACCTATGTCAAAATGGAAAAACACAGGAGTGTGAGGAGACCTCAAAGTGGCACATGGCAGAGAGGAAGCAATGGGAGGCCGTACAGGGACCCAGGTCACACTGTGGGACCAGCAGCAGCAGCGTGACCCAGGACGGCGGTACGGGGGGCCCATGGCCGATTGGGGCCTGGCGGCACCTATGGGAGGCCCGTAATCTGCCAGCACCCTATGACAAAATGGAAAAGCAACCAGGCTGTGTGAGGAGACCTCAAAGTGGCACATGGCAGAGATGGAGAGCAATGGGGAGGCCGTACAGGGACCCAGGCAACACTGTAGTGGCAGCACCCATGTGACCAGGCGCTTGGGGGGCCCATGGCCGATTAGGGGCCGGCAGCACCTATGGGGAGGCCGTAATCTGCCAGCACCTATGCAAAAAGTAGGAAACTTTGCCTCCGCTAGTGTGACTGGCTGACTGACCTCCAAAGTGGCACATGGCACCACTAGCAGCAGCAGCGTGACCAGGTGGTACGGGGGCTGGCAGTGGAGCTGGTGCTCTACTCCGTGGCCGTTTGCCAATGACCCATGAGGACCCTGCGTACAGCAATGGGAGGCCGTACAGGGACCCATGAGAGACACTCTGGACCTGGCAGCAGCATGAGGAGGCGGTATAGGGGCCCATGGCAGATTAGGGGCCTGGCAGCAGCTATGGGAGGCCCGTAATCTGCCAGCACCTATGTCAAAAAATTCAACACACCAGCAGTGTGAAGAGACCTGAAAGTGGCACATGGCATGGCAGAGTGTGGCGATGGAGACAGCAGCAATGGGAGGCCGTACAGGGACCCATGAGAGACTCTGGACTTGGCAGCAGCATGAGGAGGCGGTATATAGGGGCCCATGGCAGATTAGGGGCCTGGCAGCAGCTATGGGAGGCCCGTAATCTGCCAGCACCCTATGTCAAAAAATTCAAACACACCAGCAGTGTGAAGAGACCTGAAAGTGGCACATGGCAGAGTGTGGCGATGGAGACAGCAGCAATGGGAGGCCGTACAGGGACCCATGAGAGACTCTGGACCTGGCAGCAGCATGAGGAGGCGGTATATAGGGGCCCATGGCAGATTAGGGGCCTGGCAGCAGCTATGGGAGGCCCGTAATCTGCCAGCAACCTATGTCAAAAAATTCAACACACCAGCAGTGTGAAGAGACCTGAAAGTGGCACATGGCAGAGTGTGGCGATGGAGACAGCAGCAATGGGAGGCCGTACAGGGACCCATGAGAGACTCTGGACTTGGCAGCAGCATGAGGAGGCGGTATATAGGGGCCCATGGCAGATTAGGGGCCTGGCAGCAGCTATGGGAGGCCCGTAATCTGCCAGCACCCTATGTCAAAAAATTTAAACACACCAGCAGTGTGAAGAGACCTGAAAGTGGCACATGGCAGAGTGTGGCGATGGAGACAGCAGCAATGGGAGGCCGTACAGGGACCCATGAGAGACTCTGGACTTGGCAGCAGCATGAGGAGGCGGTATATAGGGGTATATAGGGGCCCATGGCAGATTAGGGGCCTGGCAGCAGCTATGGGAGGCCCGTAATCTGCCAGCACCCTATGTCAAAAAATTCAACACACCAGCAGTGTGAAGAGACCTGAAAGTGGCACATGGCAGAGTGTGGCGATGGAGACAGCAGCAATGGGAGGCCGTACAGGGACCCATGAGAGACTCTGGACTTGGCAGCAGCATGAGGAGGCGGTATATAGGGGCCCATGGCAGATTAGGGGCCTGGCAGCAGCTATGGGAGGCCCGTAATCTGCCAGCACCCTATGTCAAAAAATTCAACACACCAGCAGTGTGAAGAGACCTGAAGTGTGGCACATGGCAGAGTGTGGCGATGGAGACAGCAGCAATGGGAGGCCGTACAGGGACCCATGAGAGACTCTGGACTTGGCAGCAGCATGAGGAGGCGGTATATAGGGGCCCATGGCAGATTAGGGGCCTGGCAGCAGCTATGGGAGGCCCGTAATCTGCCAGCACCCTATGTCAAAAAATTCAACACACCAGCAGTGTGTGAAGAGACCTGAAAGTGGCACATGGCAGAGTGTGGCGATGGAGACAGCAGCAATGGGAGGCCCGTAATCTGCCAGCACCCTATGACAAAAAATGGAACACACCAGCAGTGTGTGAGGAGACCTGAAAGTGGCACATGGCATGGGGCATGATTCATGGCGGATTTAGTCAGTTGTGTCAGGAACTGGTGGTTTGAAATCCAGACTAATCCACGCCTGATTCATTTTCACAAACGTGAGTCTCTCCACACTTTGGGTGGACAGTCGTGTCCTCCGCGGAGTTACAATACCTCCTGCCGCACTAAAACACGCGCTCCGATGCCACGCTACTGGCCGGGCATGACAGCCTTTCAAGGGCAAATTCAGCTAGTTGGGGCCAAAGGTCAAGTTTCGTTGCCCAGTAGTCAAGGGGATTGTCTACCTCGGTTGGCAGGGTGCTGTCCAAGTAGGCCCAAGCCTGTTGTTTGAGCTCCTGCTCCAGGTCCACCTGATGCTGCTGCTGCTGCTGCTGCGGCTGGTTAGTAGTTTCCTCACTGCGCTGGTGAAGAAAGCTACTCATCATCGACTGCAGACTGAGGCAGCCGCTGCTGGTGGAGCTGCCACTGCTCCTACCACCCCACCCCTCCCCTGCTGCCATGGCAGCGGAACGCGAGCGCACAGGGCCCACAGTGTCTGAGGATGGACGTTGGCGCACAAAGGCAGAGACCAACTGACTACATAGGTGGTTTTTATAGTACGTAATTTTGGCCTCCCTCTCAGCAGGTGTGAAAAAGGCCACCATTTTGGAACGATAGCGAGGGTCCAACAAGGTGGACAGCCAAAAGTCATCCCTCTGTCTGATGGTTATTATTCGGCTGTCGCTACGCAAGCAACCGAGCATGCTATGGGCCATTTGCGCCAAGGAATGCGAGGGACTCCCTGCCTCCATCTCCACAGCATACTGCCACGGTGCGTCTGGGTCCTCTGTCTCCTCTCCTCCTCCTCCTCTACCAGATGCTCCTGCTCCTCCACTCCTGTCCGCTGAGTGGAAAAACCACCCATTTTCACTCAATAATTCCTGAGCACAAATGTCCTCCTCTACCTCCTCCTCTTCTTCCTGTCCTGGCCCCACAGGGGTCATGTGGCGTTGAGATCTGTGCGCCACGTCTACCGCACCCTGACCAGCCATTGTTAACAGCATTTGTTCCAGGACGTGCAACAGAGGAATGACGTCGTTCATCCCATAGTCCTGCCGACTCACGAATAGCGTGGCCTCCTCAAAGGGCCTGAGCAAGCGGCAGGTGTCACGCATGAGCTGCCAATGGCTGACATCGAAGTTACACAGGGGAGTACCTTTATCCGCTTGTAACATCAGGAAATCGGTGATGGCCTTTCGCTGCTCGTAAAGGCGGTCTAACATGTGTAGGGTTGAATTCCACCTTGTTGCAACGTCGCAGATCAGGCGATGCTGTGGAATTCCGTTCTGCCGCTGCAGCTCAATGAGGGTGTTCTTTGCGGTGTAGGAATGGCTGAAATGCATGCACAGTTTACGTGACATTTTAAGGATGTCTTGCAGTGGGATGGTGGATTTTAGGAACCGCTTGACAACCAGATTGAACACGTGAGCCATGCATGGCGCATGGCACAACCTTCCTTGACGCAGAGCAGACACCATGTTCTTTCCGTTGTCGGTCAACATGGTTCCGATTTTCAGTTTGCGCGGAGACAGCCATCTGTCGATTTCTCTGTTCATTACACTCAGAAGTTCCTCCCCTGTGTGACTACGTTCGCCAAGGCATACCAGGTGCAGCACAGCGTGACACCGTTGCGCCCTGCACATGTGATATGCCGGTCGGGTAATGGGACTTGGCACGGGGGGGGTGGCGGCTGAGGACACGGCGGAAAAAGAGGTGGTAGAGGCGGACATGTTTGCTGGACCAAGGACGTGCAAACGTGGAGGCAAAAGCGTCGTGACCTGTCCAAGTTGCTGGTGCGGCTGTGCCGGCACCACGTTCACCCAGTGGGCCGTAAATGACATGTACTGTCCCTGACCGTAGTTACAGCTCCACACGTCGGCGCTGCCGTGCACTTTGGCAGAGACCGACATGCTCAAAGACTGGCCCACCATCTCTTCTACATGTGAATGCAGGGCTGGCACTGCCTTTATGGCGAAGAAATGACGGCTTGGCACTCTCCACCGCGGCGCGGCACAAGCCATCATTTCTCGGAAAGGTGCTGAGTCCACCAGTTGGAAAGGGAGGGACTGCAGCACCAGCAACTTGGACAGGAGGACGTTCAGCTTTTGCACCGTCGGGTGCGTGCTCGCAAACTGTTGTCTCTTGGAAACGGATTCCAAGAAAGACTGTTGACGGAATCCGAGAAGAGGAGTAGCAGGAGAAGGAGCATCTGAACGAGCGGAAGATGCCAACGAGCGACAACTCCCCTCTCAGCAGAGGTGTTGGAGCCTTGACTGGCTGATAGAGGGCGATTGACGACGTCGGGTGACGGAGCAAGTAACGGAGCGGGTGATGGAGCGGGGGCTGGGGCAGGCAGAACCGCCGTATCTTTATCACGGTTTTCCCAGGCCACCGAATGGTGACGCTGCATATGCTGACGCAACGCTGTAGTCCCAACATGGGCCCCCTGGCCACGCTTGCATTTCTGGCCACATAGTCGACATACGGCTACGTTTACTTCCTCGGGCGGCTTGACGAAAAATTGCCACACCACCGAGTAGGAAACTTTGCCCCCGCTACTCCTCACTGGCTGACTGCTACTTCCTCCGTGCGCACCGGCACCACTACTGGCCGTGGTGGTAGGCTGCAGTGGAGCTGGTGCTCTACTCCGTGGACGTTTGGCTCCACTGACACTGATGCGACCCTGCTGCCTCCTGGGCAACCCACCGACTGTTTCGCTCGCTGCCAAGCTGGCACCCTCTTCTCCTGATGATGCGGAAGAAATTGCCTGATGACGACGAGGCAGCCAAGTGCGATCAACCTCCTCATCATCAAGTACGGGTCTCCGCCTCACTACTAGCCCCCTCGGCTGCGTCTGGGTCAGGAGACAGACCTGTCTCTAGACCGGCTACCGAGCCACTCTCCTCGCCAGTACTTGTTCGCCTGGCTGCTGAAAAGGCCGATGTCTCCCCCCGTTCCTGACCGCCCTCTGTTAGCTCTTCCTCACTGTACAGTGGGGCTGAGCCCACAGCATGCGATACTTCGCTGGTGAGGGAACAGCAAAGGACAGGGGCAGGTAGAGGACATGTGATTTCAGTGGGCTTGCTCCCGGGCCATGCCAACTAACGGTTGTGTCTGACGTACCCACCGACCGTTGGCTGTAGGTGTCAGAGGTGACCTGGGAAGAGGAAGACGACCGAGCCAACCAATCAATGACGGCAGGGTTGTCGGTGGAGACACGACCGCTGGATGACACCGGGAGCACTGGCCTCTGGCTGCGCGAATAGTGCTGCCTCGACCCCTTCCTCTGCTGCCACGTCTGCTCGCTCCTAAAACATTGCCTCCTCTGCCACTCCTCTGCATGTTGTCTGACATACTCTTTAATTCAACGATTATGTGTCCCCTGAGTAACAATTCTGTGTCCCTGAGTAACAATTCTGTGTCTGTGCGAGTAACAATTCTGTGGCCCTAAGTAACAGTTCTGTGGCCCTCAGTAACAGTTCTGTGGCCCTCAGTAACAGTTTCTGTGTCTGTGCGAGTAACAATTCTGTGGCCCCTAAGTAACAATTCTGTGGCCCTAAGTAACAAGTTCTGTGGCCCTCAGTAACAATTCTGTGCCCTGTGCGAGTAACAATTCTGTGGCCCTAAGTAACAGTTCTGTGGCCCTCAGTAACAGTTCTGTGGCCCTGAGTAACAATTCTGTGTCTGTGCGAGTAACAATTCTGTGGCCCTAAGTAACAGTTCTGTGGCCCTCAGTAACAATTCTGTGCCCTGAGTAACAATTCTGTGAGTAACAATTCTGTGGCCCTAAGTAACTGTGGCCCTCAGTAACAATTCTGTGCTGA